TCAAAACTACATTATTAAACACTTCCCCTGAACAGAAACAACAACTAAAACGGGGAGGAGGAGCCACTCCCACAGGAGTTATAACTAAAGTGTTATTTTCCCACATTAGGAGACCAGTCGGGGTTTTTTATTAGATCTTCCATCGTATAAAAACAGCCTGACCGGTGAACTGAATCCAAGCTTTTACGTAACATCGCAAAGTTTCCCGTCAGGATTAATTTGAGTAACTCCATCTTTGCTCACTTATGAATTTTACAAACTCATCCTCGAGTCATGTTTAATCAACTATGTATCCAAGTGTGAAGTGTACATACCACATTGTGTTTAAACTCTCGTAACCCGGCTGATTTATTTGATTTTTTTTCCATTTTCAGATCCCCGTGGAGGTGTCGGAGATCAGCTCTGTGAATCACCCGGTGAAGGTGGGCCTGTCTGATGCCTTTGTGGTGGTCCACAAGATCCAGCAAATACCCAGTGAGTCCATGTCTACCTCAAGCTTTTGTTTTTTAGCTAATACTTTTTTTCTCCTTTTTTGTCTTTTTTTCTTTTTTTTCTGGTTTTTCTTTTTTTTCCTTTTTTTCCCTTTTTCCCCCTTTTTTTTCCTTTTTTTCCCTTTTTTCCTTCCCCTTTTTCCTTTTTTCCCCTTTTTTTTTTGGGTTAAACATCATGAACATCATGGCTGACTCTTCCAGAGTAAATCCCACATACCAAACTACATATTTTGCCAATACTTGAAACAAAAATGCAAATGAATGATTTAGGTCCTGGCTTATATTTGCATTGATTTACTCTCGCAGTCATTTGACGTTTGTCATCTTGTAAAAAAAATACATATTTTGACAGATTTAATTCATCCTTCTCTTGCCACATTAGCATTCTTATTATTGCTGTTTGAAGTAAATTAGATAAACCTCAGAGGGGGAAAAATGAGCCGAAAAAATCCTGACTTCTCACTCCCCTGTGCTTCTTTCTGAAAATCTCCAATAAAATATTTCATACAGCGCCCGGGGGGATCTCAGTCTGTAAAGTCAGAGATAAGAGGGATGATTTGTGGGTGTGCAGTGGCCAGGCTGTGATTAACAGGTCAGGGACGAGCACACGCCGAGCTCCATCTTTAATATTCCGCAGATAAACGGTAATAACATCACAAACGAAACAAAATCGTAGCATATTTGTCAACAGACATCCACTATGTGCCGAGTACATGTTCTAACTTTCATCATTGAGCATTATCAGCCTTTTGTTTCATCTTGATCAAGACTGGATGCATCATAATAATTCAAAGTTTAACTGGGTTATACTTAGTTATGTATGATTTTTGAAGAAAATTTGATTAAAATTAATGTATGCAAGTGATGAAACATTTTCTGTTAAAGTGTCTCAGACATTAATCTTTTGAAAAAGGCTGTAAATGATCTGAAATTATGCTTAATTTCACCATCATTCTGCTCAGTCCACACACACAGCCACGGAAAAAAGGTCAAGAAAATGAAAGGTTTTACACTATTAGAGATCTTCCCCCTTTTTTGGGGGATGTATGAATCAAGAATAAATAGGAGAAACATTGTTTTGTGGTCTAAAAGTCTATTTTTAGATACAGCAGCATTGTGCTGACATATTTTTTGTCAATTATAGTAGTATATAGCTTTTTTTTTGCCCTTTGCTAACAGGGCGAGCTGCGTTGTGAATCCGTGTTGCTATGGTAACGGTGATGCTGGTACTCTCCGGCTGATGTAGACTTCCAAGATGACATTGTGAGCTGGTACAATAACATCCTCCAGGTCTAACTGGAGAGCGTTATTAAAGATGGATGTGTTGGAAGTGGAAAAAGACGTCTTCTGGGTACCGCTACGTGTCAAGGTGAAGTGGAAAGCATGCGGAATGAAGAATTTTATGCCTAAGAGCCTCCATCCACTCCTCCTTAAGCGCCTTGCCCAAATCACTGAGTGGGAGGTTTACAGCATCACGGGGGCCAATGTATTAAAGTAAAGTCTGTTCAGTTGACAAAAACCCTTCAAAATGGTCAGTGAATGAATAAATTATGAATTTGTTGTCATTTAAAACCATTTGCTGCCTTGGAGGGGGCCAATTAACATCACGTCTCTTTGCTAAATATAAAGCTAGACCCTTTTAGCCTAGCTTAGCTTAAAGCTACGCAATTAGCTTAGCACTGCAAAGTTCCAGTTGACTCCCATAACACATCAAATCACTTTTTGTATGCTTTTTAAAACCAATTCGAATACAAGAAAACGTATCCGATTGAGAGACATCTTGTTTTCTTGGGACAGAACCACTGAGTGGGAGGTTTACGACATTACGGGGGCCAATGTATTGAAGTAAAGTCTGTTCAGTTGACAAAAAACCCTTCAAAATGGTCAGTGATTAATTTCTTGTCAGTTAAAACCATTTGCTGCCTTGGAGGGGGCTAATAAACATCACATCTCTATGCTAGATATAAAGCTAGGCCCTTTTAGCCTAGCTTAGCTTAGCACTGCAAAGTTCCAGTTGACTCCCATAACACACAAATCACTTTTTGTATGCTTTTTAAAACCAATTCGAATACAAGAAAACATATACGATTGAGAGACATCTTGTTTTTTTGGGACAGAACCAGGCTAGCTGCTAGCTGCTCCTGAATCCCAGTACTTGTGCTAAGCTAAGCTAATAGACTTAGACTTAGACTTAGACTTCCTTTATTGTGATTGTACAAAAAACACAAGGTGAATCTTGACAACGAAATGTCGATTACTTGGCTACCAGTGTGACAGAGCTAAGACCTTATTCCTACACAATAAATATGTTTTCTATAACTAAGATCTAGATATATACAGGGTAAAGAAGCATATATATACATATTACTGTAATTGTCTGATGGGTTCGTATTTGGATTTCACACAACAAATGAGCTTATTTCCTAACACGTCCATCTGCTTCTTTAACCTTTAACAGTTTTTACATGCAGAGTTTTCAAAGTCAGCCTCGGTCAGTGCACGTACACGTGCTCGTGCACATAAATTATGCTACAGATTAGCATTTAATGCCTTGAAAATCATATTAATTCCAACCCAGGGATGGCAATTATAATTGATGGAAATGATAATTGATATATATTACCAGGTCTTTTAGGATATTATGCATTAAATACAATCCAAGCTGATTTTTTTCCACATTTTCTGAGGATGCATCGACGTTAAATTAGCGATTCCGCTCCGGTCAGGATGCAGTGAGGGTCAGGGATAGGTCTAATTATCCATCTGTCCTCGCCTGATGGCTGGATGTTACAGATGAGTGGAAGTTCAGCCTTTCAGCGGGGTCAGATGGATATCACGTCTCCAGGGGGGAGTTGACATTTTGGGCCCAAAAAAAAGCCGAGAAGTGCTTGGTTCGACCTGGTTCTGCCTCCTCTTCTCTTCCCTCCTCCTTCAGGGACAACTCGGCCCAGTTTTTTTTTACCTGACTCCTCTGTATTGTTGTGGAAATTTTATTTTAAAGCAAAAGTCTGAGTCCATCCGAGGAATTAAGAAATTTATTAAAAGGGGAAAAAAGGGAAAGGGAAAACTTCAGGAAGTGAGACCATACAAGTGGTTCATAAGACGCACCAAACTGCCCTAAAGTAAAACAAATCATGGAGCATTTTATACCCCTCTGAGTCTGAGAAGTGGGGTAAAGTCTCCCATTATAGAGTAACCTGCACCTGTACCAAACAATCATTAAGAAAACATTAAAAGATAATGTATAAGGAGACCCTCTCTGAGACCTAGAAGGAGGAAAGAATACCATGAGAAAGAAAAAGAACCTTTAAAATATTCACTTGTGGAAAGTTACCAGAGATAAATTAAAGAAGTGATTATACATATATTGATTTCCCTAACAGCTTTCATTATTCTTTTAGAAAATAAACATAAATCACAAATATTAGTCCCACTTTTATGGGACTAATATTTCCCTTAGTGATGTTTTTTAACCCAGAACACAGCAAATGTGGCTCTACGATCATCAATCAGGTTCATTATTGTCATGATAAGTGATTACACATATATCGATTTCCATAAGAGTCTCCATCTCCCATATTTGTAGACGTGAGGCGGAGGACCATCTACGAGTACCACCGGGTGGAGTTGATTAAGACGAGGATCACCAACTCCACCGCGTTTGAGATCCTGCCCTTGCCCAGTAAGAACAGCCTTTCCCAGTCTGAACCTTTCCGAACGAACAGATTCGGGCTTCTGCTCGTTCACTGTTGAATTCACAGACGTGGTAACAGGTTTTTTTCTTCCTCTCTTCTGCAGCCTGTCTTCAGTTCAGCAGCTGTGGAGCCTGCGTCTCCTCTCAGATCAACTTCAACTGCAGCTGGTGCCATCGGCTCAACAGGTTGGATTTCTTCTACTTCCTACTTCCGTTACAATCCCCCTATACCATTTACTCATATTCATTCATTTGCACCATTTACTCACATTCATTTGTTGCCTGTTGCACATGCAATGAGTACATACACGTTTTTTATTTGAGAGTGAAAAGATATTTGGATTTCATATCAGCAGAACATAGAAAAAGGAGGAAAATGGGCAACAAAACGCCGGAATTAATACGGATAAAAGAAAGGCTGAGAATGTTTTTAGAGACTTGTCCTTTTCATCATTATCGCATGATTTAATTTCACTTATCTGAGTTTTTTTCTCCATTTTTTTTTCATTTTTTAACCCTGTAATGCCAAATGTATCATATTTGATACACACGGTTTCTGAAATGTTTTTTGCATAATTTAATGGTAAAAACAAATCATCAATGATCAAAATCCTATTGTACACAATCTGATAACAGGGGGCAGAAGACTACCCAAAAAATAATCTTGACTCATCGCACAGTAATAAATTATTAATATTAAAAATGTATTTCTGTTTTTTCTTTTTACATATTTTGTTAGAAGGCCAAATAAGGAATTCAAACCCCCAAAAAAGTAAATTTCTGTTTTGTTTTATTCTTGGATCAGCCTTTAAAGGGTTAAAACACTTTTTTATCTGAGTTTAATTTAAAGGAATAAACCAATCTGATAGATATATAAAAGATTAAAGTTGGTGTTTAATGATAATTTAGGTGTGAAAAGAGCTCAGAAGTTGGCAGTGGATGATGCGAGTAATTAATTATGGTGAAAGCAGAATGTAATCATCCGTGTGAGGGAGGAAAGTTTCTGTCTGAGTTTCGGCAGACGTTGTTTTTCTGTCCTTTACTCCGGCCCCCAAGTTCGCCTTTACCTTCTGAACTCTGTCTTCATCAAATATTAATTCCCCACTCTCTTATTTCTGAGTCATCACTTACCCCGGGTAAAGTGTCTGACCAGAGAAATGTGCTCTGTCCGCTTTGATTTGTTTTTCAGGGACTTACGGGGGGTTTTTGGATTTGACTTTCCTTCCGCTTAGCTTCTTAACTCCTCTTTCCTTTGACAAAAACAAACTAATTTAGCATTTATTAGCATGAAAAAGTTTTGTTTTGTGCGTTTTTTTTTTTTTATTTTTAATTTTTCTGGATGCTGTTGAGACTCTTCCCGCCTGCAGCAGTGGTCTCATTAAGCAGTTTTTTAATTAGCTTTCCGACTGTGTTCAAATCTGACTGCTCGGTCTGCTTCTGCCCTTTGTATCCTTGAGCCACGTGCTTGAGAAATAAAAGCCGAACGTGCTTTTTTCGGTATGCGCTAATTAAAAACCGTGGCTGCGGGGGGAAACGAGAGGAGGCCGGTGTTTTCAGGAGAACAACGCTAATGAACTTCCCTCTCCGAGAAGGCGAAGCCACACCGGTTAAATCCGTTTGCGGGCGGGTTAATAAAGCACGACACACGTGGAGGCCTCTGAATATGGATGTGTTTGGAGGAAGGGATTTGTTTGCTGCCGTGCCTCACACAGAGACAAACGGGGAATTTAAATAGGTCTTAGACTCACGGCGTAATATTTATGCTCACAGAGGCAGATTGGAGTTACAGTAGTCGCGCCATAAAAAAGCAAAGACATTAAGAGAATGAGTTTGTCGAGCGAAACACGTGTATTACAGAGAGCTGTTTGCAGCCGGCCGGTGAATTAGACTAAGTCCTTTTCCGTTTTTGTCTGCAACTGTCAGGGAGGTGGGTGTTGACGGGAGGACTCAGTCGCGGAATGAGGGGAACAAGGTTTATTGACAAAAAAAACAGGGTGAATGTCCAGACAAAGTACAAAACAAAGCTGTGGCAAACTGTGGGCAAAGTATCAAAGCAAGCAAACAAGACTGTGGAAAAACTATGACAAAGTAACAAAATAAAGATTAACAAGACTATGACAAAACGTGACTATGACTGTGGCTGTGGCAGAACTATAACGAAACAAACCTGGCGTGGGGGTGACGACGGACGAAAGGACAAGAGACAAGGCAAGAAGACAAGAACGACCCCGCACCAGACAAGGGGAAACGAGGACTATTTAAACACACGAGGAAGGGGAACCCCAGGTGCACACAATTGGTAATCAGGACATGACGAGACACCAGACGTGACAGCAACATAAAGTGCATCGAAATGATCAAGCTCGTAAATGGAAAAAGCACAAACGGCTGAGTAAAGGTTTGCCTTCCACAAGGACACGGAGGATGCTGGAACAAGCCATTTGTTTTTCAATTTTCATTCTAAAAAATACAATTTACTTCAAACTTGAGGCCAAAAAAATAGGATTTGACAACGTCACACTGTACAGGCTGAGGTGGAAACTAGAATTGGTCTTATCAAAAAAGAGATAAAGCAAGGGTTCCTATAGAAGTGCAGGTTTTGATGCTGTTTACTTTTTACCTATGAGGAGCATCAGTGTTTTAGTTCACAGGAGATGGAAGCCGGGCTCAAAACGCTGCAGACTGAGATAACGCCGCTCGGCTTAGCAAAGCGTGTAAAGAACTTGCCAACAGACTCAAAACAAATAGACTGAAAATATGAAGTCATGGCCCAGAGAGAAGTAGAAGCGTTTCCAGGAACACAGAAATGGAAAAAAAATATTGAAAATGGCACCAGAGGGAATTGTTATTCCCATGTAAAAGACTACTGCCGAGTTTCTGTCTACTTCATCAACACAGTTTAGCAATAATTTAGACTAACTGGTAGATTATTGGCGCCAAATGCACTTTTAGCATATTTCCCTACAAAAATAATACATTATTCATTAGTTTTTGTATTTTCAGTGTTATCCTGATGGCGCAAACTCCTGGGAGTTCGATGTGTTAACAAGCTGCTAATAGCTGCTAGCTGCTAACTAGCTTAAAAGGAGAAGCTAATAAGATTTCTTTAAACAAACTTGGTCGAATTTGGTGTGGCTGTAATGAACGAACTCAGGACCCAAAAGCAGCCAGAGACGTACGGTCAGTTCAACAAGATTTATTAATGGACAGGGGCTCGGCAGGGGCGTGGTCAGAACAGTCCAGGTTCGGTAACGGGAGATCCAGGCAGCGCAGGTAATCCAATACGTGGTCGGGGGCCGGTCGAGGGTCGAAGCCAGGGGAGCAATCCAGGGGAGCAGGCGGGAGCACGTAGTCGGGCAGGCGAGGTCGGTACACGGGGAGGCAGGCAGGATCCAGAGACTGGCAGACAGATCTCAGGCAGGCGGACAAAACAGACAGGGAGTAGGCAAGCTCGGGAGTCGGAGTCAGGCGGGTAGTAATCAGGCAGACAGAAACAGGATAGATTGCTGGAAGTACTCACACGAAGGCTCGATACGTTCTGGCAACGGATTCAGACAGGCACGGTGAATATAAGGAGGTGGGAACAGGTGAAGGAGATGAGTGCTGATTGCAGGGTGAGTGGCTGAGCAGGTGTGCCGGTGGGGGTGGGGCCGGCTCCAGAGCCGGGAACATAACAGTGGCTGGTGGCTGAAAGGTCCTCGGCCTTATTTTCATTCTGCACAGGGTGCAGGTGGCTTTCCACTGCTCAGCAGACAGAGAAAGCTTCTCTTAAAATGTCTCTCACAGACTCTTTCTTCTTCTCTGATATGGAGCCATTAGAGAAAGCAGGTAACGGGGAGGCATATTAATGACTGTCGACTCCTCTGGCTGAAATACATGAAGGATTTTATCTGATTAAAAGTCTAAAGATTGCAGCTATGATATCTGAGTAAAGGCACCAGAGGGCCATGAGAAGAATGACAGCATGTCTTCAGTGAAATGACGACTAGGAATAAAAAAAAAAACCCGTCTTGCTGTCACCGTCTTGAGAACCTGAGCAGAAACGTTCCCCCTCGTGAGCTCATTTACATTCAAATGAAGCTCCTCGGCCCGTTTCCAATTAGGGACGCCGGCTCTTTCCGGTAGACGGGAGCCGGCTGAGGCGGATTCTGAGGAGACGTGTGTCTAATATAACAAATAGGAAAAAGTCCTATTGGCTAGTTACCTCTGGGCATAAACAGGCCAGGTCCTAATTCATGCAGATGACATTGGAATGTGGTAACAAATGGTGTGTGTTTCTGTTGATCTAAAGAAGTTTGTCTAATGTAACAGAAAAAGAAAAAGTCCTATTGGCTAGTTACCTCTGGGCATAAACAGGCCAGGTCCTAATTCATGTGACGTTCATATTCATCTTTCTGCCTCTATGATCATGTAACGTGAGGGTTCGATTAAATGCTGGTTGGATCACTCTCCAGAAGGAGAAGCCAAAGGATGGAGACAGGTAAAGTTTTCCGACCACGCTTTATTCCGTCTTTTCACAACTTTGGAGAAGACGGGGGAAAATATAGGATTAAGAGGTTTCTGTCTCTTCCGATTGAGCAGATGGATGGGGCGGGATGGGATCATTGTAAAGTTAATTCAGTAGGTCATATAATTACATTTTATTTAATTCACAGCTACATCTTTAAGACATTTAGTTCAATCTGCTTTGCCCTAGTTTAGATTCTCATTGGTTTGTTTTAATTAACGTGACAAAAACAAGGAAGTGTGTGTGTTCTCCGAAGTTGGGAAATGCCCAGAGGTAACTAGCCAATAGGACTTTTAGGACCTGGCCTGTTCATACCCAGAGGTAACTAGCCAATAGGACTTTTAGGACCTGGCCTGTTTATGCCCAGAGGTAACTAGCCAATAGGACTTTTAGGACCTGGCCTGTATATGCCCAGAGGTAACTAGCCAATACGACTTTTAGGACCTGGCCTGTTCATGCCCAGAGGTAACTGGCCAATAGGACTTGGTTGTGTCCAGTCCTCCTTTGAGGAGGCGGATCGAGCCCAGGAGATAACTGTGTCCAATAAATGTCATATTTTATACATTTGATCTACTCTGGTATATTCTCAGGTTTCCAACTAAAGAATCGGGTTAACAGATGAATATGGAGCATAAATATGCTCCCCAAACCGGCCTGCTGGACACTGTTCTGGCCTCCTGCTGACCCCACAGAGCTTTGAAGCTCCGCATGTGGGTCTGTTATGTTCGCCTGCATATTCCGACACTTCAGAGAGCTTTCGGTGCTCATTTATTTTGACAGCAAACGGCGTCTTGTTGACTCAGCAACGCCCTGATGCAAAGCCCACACGACCCCCTCGCGCTCCGCTCTTAAATCCCACATTTTCAGCCACTCCCCTCTGTAAGATCTCTGAGTCTGAACCCCAGCGGGAGGGAGGGAGTGGGAGGTGCAGATGTTCGCCTCCCAGCACGATCCCGACCAGAAAAAAGACAGGAATATTAAGTGTTGCTCAACAGACCGGCTCTCCCGGCTCTCAGCAGTAGTTATCGTCAATCGCCCGGTGCTAAAAGACTCGTTCTTTTTATCGTCGCTTTGGAAGCACAGAAACAGCTCCACAGATAGTTCCCTGAGTTGGACTCAACTTTCTGGACGGGAATCCCTGATTCTGTTCATTTAATTAGTTAGAATTTGACTAAAATCACTCATTTTAGCATAGTATGCTATAACATAATCTATGTTAATTACTGATTGTCTTATTCTTTTTAGAACTAGTATCTGGCTGTGTCCACAGACTCTCCTTTTCTCTGTTTTTCTTTCTTTGATCCACACTTTTAGGTCAACACAAACACACACCATTTGGTACCATATTCCAATGTCATCTACATGAATTAGGACCTGGCCTGTTCATGCCCAGAGGTAACTAGCCAATAGGAGAGAGAGGTTTTTGTCTGTGAAGAGCCCAGCTGATTTACTTAACGGTGTCCAGTAGATGTTATTTTTGTACTTTTGGTCTACTCTGGTATATTCTCAGGTTTCCAACTAAAGAATCGGGTTAACAAATTCCAGCGTCTTTTCTCGATCTTCTGACAGTTTGAAGGCCTCTGTGTGGAGGAGGTGGCCGATGGGTTTTTCCACTAACGAACAGACATCCATACTCGCTTTACAATTCGGCTTAGGGGGTTCGGACCTCAACTCGTGATTGACTATCTTGGGCTGTCTTCCATGGAGGCCATGACTCTCCTCTCGATGTATCCCAACGGTTCCAGTATCCACAAAATATTCCGAGGCTTTCTTTGAGTCAATCCAGCCTCGAGTGCCGTTTTTTTTACAATCCGTAGCTGTTTCTGTAGCTCCTCGGGGGTCCGTTCCATGAGCTGTGGGCCCCCGGGAGAAGTCGGATGGAACGTCCCGGTCTGAGTACCTTCCATTTATTGGAGGGACGGAAAATGAGCTTCAGCTAATTTCGATGAATTTGTCAGATAAAGATGCTTTTCAAATGTGAGAATTTGCTCCTTTGACCTGTAACTACTGTAATGATTTCACTATTGACCAGTTTAATGTCATCCAATGAGCGGATCGATCCACTATGAAGTCTGGTGGGTGTGATACTCTGACCAGGACAGTGATTTTGATATTTGGTATTCAGTATTAACTCTTGGCAACAACTGATGGATGTTTTTTGAGCTTTTTGTGCACTCAGAAGCGGCTAAATTAGCAATAACCAAACCAATAACCATTATAATAAGCAATAATAACAATAAGCACGACTGTTGTTCTGCTCTCCAGGTGTTCGAGTGGCTTTGACCGCCATCGGCAGGACTGGGTGGACAACAGCTGCCCGGACGAGGTGAGAATCCTGGACGGGGACTAACACGTCCCTTCACACGTTTTCAGAATCAGAATCATCCATCCATCCATTATGGTAACTGCTTATTCCCTAATGGAGTCATGGGGGGACTGTAGCCTATCCCAGTGGTTAATAGGCGAGAGGCGGGGTCACCCTGGACAGCCCAGTCCATCACAGGGACACACAGAGACACACAAGGACCAACAACCACACACACTCACACTAAGGGCAGTTTGGAGTCCGACCAACCTAACATGCAGGTTTTTGGACGGTGGGAGGAAGCCGGAGAACCCGGAGAGAACCCACAGACACAGGAGAACATGCAGACTCCACCCAGAAAGGTCCTGGTTCCCCCGGGACTCCAACCCAGAACCCTCTGGTCCTGGTTCCCCCGGGGACTCCAACCCAGAACCTTCTTGCCTTACCGCCCGAATCAGAATCAGAAATACTTTAATAATCCCAGACGTTGATTAAAAAAGCGGATTCTCCATCTCCCTTCTCGTTTCAGACCAAAGACAAGCTGTGCGACGTTGCCGAGACGACGCCCCCGTCTCCCCTCACCACCGCCTCCCCCCCCAAAACGACCCCGCCCAGCGGGGGCGGAGCCTCAGGGGGGGGGGCGCCCCCCACCTCCCACCCGCCCACCAGCGTCCCCACAGAAGGTAAAAAGTGGTTCCTTATTATTACTGATGCGTTTCCTCTTTCTACAAGAAGGCCGTTTAAGCAGAGAAAAACACTTCCAGTTAGCGTCCGGCGTCCGGAGGGGCAGCAACCGGGTTTTCACCGTCTTCTTTTTTTATTTTAGGGTTTTGGTCGGCTTCTGTGACTGAACGCTCCAAATTTAGTGATATTTCTTTCATATATAGATCTCAGAGAAACAAAAAAAAAGCCAAATGGAACTATTCAGTAAAAGATTGTTATGCTATAACCATAAGTAGAGTATAAATGCAATGTTAGTTTCTTAAAGATGAATGAAAGACTAATAGTGAGTGCTTATATGTATACATATATATTTATTTAAACATATATATTTTTTTAAATATAATATATCAAATATATATGTATATATAATATCAAACATTTGAAATAGAGAGATATTAAAACAAAAATATATATATATTTTGAATCTTAACAGCTTTGACCTCAGTAACACATAGAAAGAGAAAACACAATAATTCAAACTCCATTCATCAATAGACTGTGTTTTTCCTTACAATAATATATACCCTCACAAGATCTACAAACACTTCTCATAATGCATACAGATGCCTCCATACAGATGTAATCTAAGGATGGCTTTCCCTCCTGTCCTCCAGTTGTGTGTGTCAACAATTAAGATGCAGGTTGTGCTCTTGTTCCATATTAATGTAAAATTCAGATTCATTCGGCCCCAGCTGAGTTATCTAAAGCATAAATCAGCTGACACGTTTCTTTTTGGTGGACAAAAACTGTCAAGGTGTCCCCTTCAGTACAGAGATGGACACACACACAGAGGTGGACACACACATAGAAGTGGACACACACACAGAGGTGAACACACACACACAGAGGTGGACACACACACACAGAGGTGGACACACA